ACAGGTTAAAATATTTTAAGCAACAAGAATTTTGATCATAAAGTATTTAAATGACATTTTCAGAATATCCAATAATTCACAACTTATAACATGTGTACTTATCCCTATTTAATTTCTAACTTCAGTCTTCGCAGCTACTTATAAACCTTAAAACTGGAAATTGTCTATATGATTTACTATAAATGTAATTTTTAATTTAGTAATAGTGAAAGACAATGGTTTCAAAATTAATTCACAACGGTATTCGCTCATTAGTAGTAGTAGAAGTAGTAGTAGTACACTAAATCGATAATTAATTTAGAAATCAAATTTCTAATTAAAAACTTATTAACTTATTAATGATTAACAAAAATTTTTTTTTCATCACACATTTTCCTTAAATTTATAAGAATTTCTAGCTTTATAAGCATAACATTTTTCTAGTATATTATACTGATAATAACATAAACACATACATACATTTATACATGTAATAAATATTTTATAGACCATTCTGTTTCAATATTAATCAAATTATGTTTCACTTAACAAAAATTAATTTAATTTATTGGCATTTCAATAAATCTAATTAATCGATAATCATTTCAGATTATATTCCTAAAATGATCATAAATCGATTATGGTACAAGAAAAATATTGAATAAATATTTTGAAAAATTTCCTTTGTCCATTTTGTTTTGCGTTAAAGATTAATATTGCTAAATATAATATATCTGCTGAGATTTTATTTTATTGTGAACATAAAATAATACTTGATAGATTATAGAATATAATTTTTAAAGGTAAAATTTATTTCTCAATCCGTCAGGTATGTTTTATCTTTATCAAAAGTAACAAATTATTAAATGAAATTATTTTTTTTTTCTTACTTGACAAACAAATTAAATTTTATTAAAAGTGTTTTCGTGATTTGAAATAATATTCATAAGGTGTGTAAAATTTTGCTTTATATCGTCAATTTCGCTTTTTTGCTTCTTATTTTTAAGATTTACAGCTTTCTTTTTTTTACCATTTCGAACATTTTCTATGCTTATATTGTATTAAGAAAATTCTTTTTATGACACTTTTTATTGCGTTCAAAATATCCTAGCTATCCTTTTGACATCAATAAACAAAAAAAAAACGGAAAAAATATCTAAAGATATTATTTAAAGGGCCAATTTATGTAAGATATTTGTAGTATTTTATTCAACCTGTTATATGCTTTGAATTCAACAAAAATTGGTATTTTATTAAAAGATTCTAGGCCATTTTATAACAACTCAAAATTTAGCAGAAATGCATTACAGTTTAACTACAGCAAAAATAGAAACAATTTTCCAAAAATTTTCTAGAAATTTTAAATTTGACTATGCTAATTTATGTAAGCACTTTGTAAAATTTTAGCAGTAAAGTGAACGGTATATGATTTGGAAAATCACTAGTATGTTATCAACCATTTAGTAATAGAATTTTTGGAGTTTTTAGAATTTCTGTTATAAGTACTAGTACATGCTAAGACCGATTATGAAACCTAGAATATATATATGGACAATCATTATAGATTTTTATTATACTCATATAATGCTGATTCATTATAGATATAAGTACCTACAACTAAGAAAATTCCTTTCTTAACAGCGACGCAAACTTGTGCTTTTCTTTTCAAACTTCATATTTTCTATTTAGTATTCTAATAATTTGCTTGCTTTCTAATATTATCCTAAAATAAACCCATACTTTTTACTAAAATCTTAAATACTGTGAAAATATGTAAGTGTAAAGAAAGCGCTACTGTTTATTATACTTTTTCTAGTAAATTTTAGCAAACACAAAAAATTGAATGATTGTCTTAAAATTGGTGTATAATACGCTAATATAGAATTTTACTTTTATCTTAAGTAAACGAATCTACCACCAATTTTCTTTTTTTTATTTCACCTATACTGTTTTTATAAGAAAACCGCGTAGGTAAGAAAATATGGTAATAAATCACAAATTGAATAATAAACTACGTGCTTAACTTTCATATTTTTTTGGTTTTTCTTCTTCTTTCATAAATTTTGACGTAGAAAATACAAGTTAAATTTTTTTTTTTTTCCACAAAATAAAAAAATGAAATAATAACAGTAATGCTTTTAATAGATGTGAAATTTACCTGGAAGTACATTAGAATATTTTATATATTTTTTTACATTATATACAAAATACCTCTATGAAATTCTCATGAGCTTATTACCTATGCTCTGTTACTTACATAATATATTTATTTTATTACATTTATAATGTATTTTTACATAAAATATTGTATGTACTTACATGATTTGAAAAAATTAAAAAAAAAAAAATCATCCCTTATTATTCAGAAAATTGCTTAAGAAAAATATTTGAAAGATTTATAAAATTTTCTTAATATAATAAAATAGTCTAAATCGAAATTGTGCGTTTTTAAATTAACCATTCTGAACAATAATTCAAATGATATCATGTATTATAAGATTTATAGTATCATATAGAAATAAATAACAATTTAAAATTTTTAATTTAAAATTATTTTATCAAAAATATAATATTCTTAACAAATCAAAATCAACATTAAGGAAAAGAGACATAATTTTATATGATGAAACAAAATTCTTGCATTCTCTTACTTAATTTCTAGTTTAACCAGATTCATTTTTGATAATTACACTTGAGACACTTGAGAAATTAGAATACTAATAATATTCTTAAACAATTCCTTTCAAAATTATTATATTTTATTTTAAAACTAGACAGAATATTAATTTGTAATTACATAAAAAAAATAGTTCCAAGAATACCTAAGGGATATTTACAATACTTACAATATTCATATTAAATATAAATAGAATAAATGTAAATGAATTTGTATTTTACCTAAGGACTTAAGAAAAATATATTTAAAAAGAAATAAAAAATCATAATTTTAATTATTAAATTTAATTTGTTTTTAATTTATTTAAAAATTACAATATTTCATTTTATTTTATTTATCTTAATAACATTATTATTTTATATTTTTTAATACATATTATATTTAGTAGTATGATATGGATATTTTTAGTTGTACCTATTATATTTTATCAAATACAATTTTATCTTAAAAATAGTTTAACAAAAAAAAAAAATCTTTTTTCTTTTTTAAATATAACATAGAAAAGCAAAAAAGTTTAATTCTTATAAATTATTTATAAATTTAAAGTATTAATAGTATACATACATATATATACACAAATTATGTACATAAGCCAAATAATATTATATTATGTGTAAATATATATAAAGCAAAGGAAAATAATTGGTTTATCTCGTTTTTTATGCTAAGTAAATGTATGTCAAAGCTATTTAAAACTGTAATTAATTGCAGATTTTCATTACTATCATAATCATAAAATAGTACTATCATAATAATGAATACTATTATAATAAATGAAATAGAATAATTATAAGTAATCAGAAAGTTCTCAAAATTATATCTATTAATAAAATTGATTGTTCAATAATATTCGGTAATTAGAAAAAAAACTTAATTATCCATAATTAAATAATAATCAAAAAGAAAATGATTGAACTAACATCGAAGAAAAAATAAATTTTTGGAACATTGAGCTTTAACTTGAAAACTTTGGGCTTAAACAGTGTGAACAGTATATAAAACTTTCAATAAAATTCTTACATTATCATGATTGTCAAAACCATATAGGCGATTAGTTAATTCCCATTTTAATTCCTATTTGAATTTACATGACATTAATGTTAGTATTGAGAATAAAAAAAGCATATTTAATTTAAAATAAAATTAGAGCATACAATGCGTTTTTTGACTTGTCTTTAAAATAGTGCATTTTCTGTAACCAAAACTCTATATAATATCAATTAGTAACTTTATGACCAAACATAAAGTTACTAATTGATATTAGCTATAATTTCTTCAAAACACGTAAGTTTAGCAAATCTTTATATGTATATATATATACACATACATGTAATTACACATTTGTATTACAGAAAATTTATATTTAATTATACATTGTTATCTGTCATGGAAATTTTATATTTTATATTATTCATATATTAATTTATATTATTGATACAATATAATCACAAAGTATTACAAAAATTCAACCCAAATTTATAAATTGGTTAAATTATCATCAAAAAAACATTAATTAAAGATACAAAATTTATAAATTGTAGATAAATTGTAAAATTTTCAATTTACAGAAACTTTTTATATTATTTTTTTATTATAAAGTTATATTTAATGCTAGTATGAATGCATTTTAAAGGAACCAACCACATTATAGTATATTTTAACTTTTCAAATATTTTAAATTACAATTTATTTACATTAATACTATATTTACTCTGTTACTGGATATTGTATTTTATATTATATGATAAATAGATGCACATAGATTTTGAAAACAAAAATTATATATTATATTTACAGGCATAAAAAGAGAGGTTAGTTTACTAGTGATGGTCCTTAATCAGTCTTGATTTACAAAATATGTGTGTAGTTTTCAATTTATGTATATAATGTAAGTGGAAAATTTTAGTATTTTTATCTTTAATGAATATACAATTTATTGTATAAATAGTAAGTATACTAATATGTACGGATGTATATGTGAAAAAAATTTGGATATCATGAACGTTAAGATCTTGAAATGTAAGATTCTTTCCTTATTTTTTATAATATGTATCCGATTAAAAAACATTATAGATATGGCTATTGTAAGAATTTACAAAATAATTGTATATTTAAAACTTATTCAAAGATCTAATAACAGAGATCATAAAATATCACTTAACTTGGAAAATAATATTCTTAAAAATTCAGAATCAAATTAAATTTATAATTACAGATTGGTAAACAAACCAATTTGTTACTAATGCTGTACAATTATAGTACCTGTTTCATACACAGTTATTAAGTTTTTTTAGAAAATAAAGAAGAATCAATAATAAATCTAAATTTGTGCATAATGTAATATACAATTGTTATTGTAAAAAAAGTGATTCCGGAATATATCTAGAAAAAAATAAATTCCTATCAGCGCTCATGCATCTGTCCAAAAAATTTTACATAAATTCAATTTGCAAATTATGCGCTATTTTAAATTACTGAATAGTTAAATATACATAATTTAGCATCATTAAACATGTATTTGATTTTATATTAGTTCTTACATCTAAATCCATCAATTTTCGCTATTATTACATATACATTTATAATATTAATATATTTCTTTTTTAATTTTTAATTTCCTATCATCGGTTTTCATTTGATTCAACTAAATTCGGTAAAACTAAATCAATTTCAACGTATTCCGGATAATTTACACTATTACTATCTTGATTAATTACATTATTATTATTACTATTACTATTGTTATTAATATTATTACTATTAGAGATATGATTATCAATATTATTGCTATTCGTGCTATCCAAACTACATCTTCTTGTTGTATGATTACTGTTATTGCTACTTCTTCTACTTATATGGCTAACATTATGTTCATTATTACTTGCTCCTTCTTCACTACTACCACCATAACCAGTATCCGCTCTTGAATAACCAGGTAATTCTTCTATATCTTCATATGGTATTGAATATAAATCACATGATTGTTTTATAGAAGGAGATGTATGTATAATATATCCTTTACTTAAACTTCCTCCTGCTAATTGTGAATTCATTTTGTGACTATGTAATGGTGATGGTGCAATTAATGATGGTGGTTGAATATAACCATTTAATGTATTAGTATTTGAATGATTATAACATTTATCTAAATCAGTATAACCCAAATAGCCATTGTGATGTGCATCAGGATATCTTAATGGTTCCATATAAACGCTACCAACACCAATTATTGAATTAGCTGTTTCTGATACTGATGACATACTTGTATTATTTGTTGGTACATAACTAACAAAATCATGTGCTCGTCGTATTGTATATTGATTACATCGTCCACCGCATTCTTCATAAAAATTTTTATTCTGATATTTAGGTTGAGCTAAATAACTTCTAGCACTATTATCAGATGAATTTGATTCAGAATGTTGTAAAGTATGCTTAACCAAATTTTTCAATTCCTTACATCCATCGTCTTTTTGATTCATTAACCTGTAAACCCAAAAATAGTGATATTTTATTAAAAAATATTCAAAACAGGCTAATAATGTTTTTAAAATTAATCGTAAGCAAATTATATGCAAATAAATGAATGTAGCAGTACCATTTTTTGTTTAAACACTAGTTAGTGTAAAAAATTAAATACATATACTAGTACTTAATTACTGATAAAAGGCAATTCTCTAAAAATATGTTGAACTTTTATAAAAATAATAAGAACAAATGTTCGTAAATTCATTTATCACTGCTATTAACTTACAATACATATTTTCAATTAAAAAGCAGTTCAATTTCTGAATTAAACTAAAATATTTTCTTATTGCCTTTTTTATATTCTAAGTTTTATATTTAATTACTGTCATTTTGATATATTTTACCAATGTAAACATGGCATAAAAATTTCTAAATTTAAAAAAAAAAAATTGTTCCATGTTGAGAATTTTCAATATTGTTCATTTTATGCTGGATTCACTACTTTGTCAGTTTTAAGGTAGGGTAATTTGAAATTGAAACAATTTTTTTGCTGAAGAAGAGTTTTTTTAAAGTAATTAAAGTTACCACTCTAACTTTTGAATAGAAGTTTTAAAAAAAACATCCGCCCTAATGTTGAATTTGATTTAATTTCTCTAAAAGTTGAAAATCCTTAATTTTTGAGGGAGAGACCAAAAGCTCAACTAAAAATAAAGAAAATGTCATCAAGTAAATTTTCCGAAACCAGCGAAATACTGAATTCATAATTTTAGAGTTAAGGATGATAAAAAAGGTAAGGATATTTTGACACTCAGAAAAATTTTTAATAAATTTTTAGGTTTCAAATTTAATTCTGTTTTGTAGTGAGTAAAGTTTTAGAGTATGGACGACTTATACAATTTTTTTAAAAATGATTACTGCAGTACAATTTAAATTGGATGTACTTATTTTTAAAAAAATATTTTTACTTAATAACAATATAATTTCTTTCTTCTTAATTCATTATAATTAACAAATTCTTAATTGCAAATTGTTGAAAAAAATTTTTTTTTTACCTTCTTACATAAATCATTGAGAATGCTATGACTAATAATAAAATGAAAGCAAAAACGCCAACTAATGTTAAAGCTTGTATCATCGGACTAGATAAACCATTTGTTCCAAATACCTGTAAAGAAGAAAATATAATCAAATTAAATAATTATTTAAAATTGTTAATATTTTTAAATAAAATAATATAATAATTAAATACAAAATTAAACGCAAGACTACTGAAATAGAATTCAGTTACTTACTTATTACAACCGAATTATGAATTTAAGTATCGAATTATGAATTCGATTATTTATTATTATACTTTTATTTTGATTTCAACCAATATGGTCAACACTTATTGTTTCAAGTTAAATCACAATCAAGTTTAGCAAATATTTGAAAACGGTAATATGAACAATAAAAAATTGTTTTAATTTTAATAAAAAAATATTGTCGCGGTAGTGTCTAGGTGAGTTTACTTCCATATTTTGTAGGAAATCGGAAATTTTAGAAGCAATGCAGGTGTTTCGACCTTCTGGTAGAAAATAGAGCATGAACTTACAGAAAACGGAATTCTTTAAGTAACTATGTTTTCACTATAAATATATACAATAAAACTGAAAGCAACCATCCTCTTAAATACAATTTCAAATTTCTCCGAATGCCACGAAAATAGCTAATGCAATTCTGTTACTCAAACATTACATATATGATAATAAAAAACGACTTTTTTTTTAAATGTTCACAATTTTTTTCAAAATACATAATCTAATAATTTTCTTAAGAGTGTGAAATTTATGTTAAAATTATTAATAATTTTGAAAAAAAAGTTGTTTTTTTTTTACACATTCCTATATATTTAAAATTTATAAGAATGGATGACATATGTTTGATTAGACTGAACCTATTGCATATGTTTTTTTGTGTCCTTTAAAATTTTAAACGTTGATTACATACTTACATCATATATTCGTTCTTATTCAATAAAAAAAGAACATTAATTGAGATATAAGTATGTAAGTTAGTATATTATATTTGTTACATAAATAAAAGTTACAAAAGATAACCAAATATCTTTAAGAGAAATGTGAACCGAGCATTAAATAAATTATAATTAGGAACAACCTTAACATATCTATTATAAAAGAAAAAAGGACAATATACAAAAAATTTTGATGCACAACATAAAAAAAAATATTCGGAATCTTAAAATAAAATATACTCAAGTATTTATATCTAAATATGGACATATTTCCCCGTATATACATGCATGCTTGTATATAAATATGTACGTGTATATACAAACGTGCACGGAAATTTATTCTAGAGTCCGACTATAAAGGAATATGTTAGTTAAAAAAAAATTTAACAATAAAAATTAAAAGAGGGTCAACTTTAAAAGAGAAACTAAGATAAAATTAAAAAGAAGTTAGTGTTAAAAACTCTGTACATGAAAAAGCACATTTTATTTTCTTTGTTTTGTGGTTAGCAAATCATTTCAATTGGTTTGTGGAAAGAGGACCCGAAACTTCAATGTTCAATCTTTAAAAGCATTTCATAAAGCTAGCATTATAGAGACTAAGGAGGATTGTCTTTTAGAATTAAGAAATATTTCAATACATTAATAAACCTATACAAATAACTTATAATGCATCCACATGTTAAAATTAGTATTTTTGTATTCATAATATTGAAACAAATTATAAAAATGAAATTTGATTAGGTAAATTTTATTTATTTGGTCGTTTCAATTCTAATTTCTAAGTAATTCCAAAATTAAGATTCACTCACTTTTTTTTTATTAAATATGATTTTTTTACTATTAAAACAAAAATTTACTATTAAAACAACTTATTTTAAAGTCTACTTTTTCTTATTTTACGAGAGTTTGAAGCAAAAAACATCAATCGGTCATAATAGGAAATGGCTCAGAAATTTTAAGTTGTTAGTTTCTAAGTACAGACAAACAAGATAAGGGAACATAACAAATAAAGTTTTACAGATTTTGTAAATTTAAAAGCAAGTATACGAGTAATACTCATATACCAATATGCATTTTAAAAATTTAATTTAGCTACATATATTTGAAATATTCCACTATTGTTTTCTTTTTCTTAACTTATAAAGTCTTGATTAGTATTTCTCTAAACAAAAATTAATATTATTTAATCATCATTTTATTATTCATATATATATACATATACATATATAAGTTTAATTCTTTTATAAAATATTCAAACAGAGAATTGTAGTACGTCCTACGCTAAATATGAGGAAAACATTTTCGGTCGATTATTTCAAAAAGGCATAGAAGTCTTCTATTTTACATTCTTAATCCTACCCATTGTTGCGTTTCATTTGAGTTAAAAAAATAAAAAAAAAATGTTATTCTTTTTATTGATACAGTGTTCGTTCTTTCATCATTTCATTGTTTCATTATTCAAGTATGGTCATATACCTAGCCTATTATTTAGTGTGCGTACTTTTACGGAAATAATGTACAATTTTTCTTTTTATGTTCTCCTCTTAATGGATTTGAAATGATCCGTATCCTTTTTTATTTTTTTTTTTTGTTATTTTGCTTCTTAAATTGCTTTCTACTCACAAGTCACATGTACATACGTTTATACATATACAGGATGATTAAGAAAGTTATGCAACTAAATATAACTTCGTTATACCACACATATATTCCGAAGGTATATAAAATAAGAATTAGGCAGCATGTCTCTTTTGAAGCCCTTTACTAGGAAAACTGTTTGTTTGAAGTTCCTATCTTTTTCAACACCGAAGTTATAATCAAAAAAACTTAGATAAGTAAAAATTTCGTGAAAATTTGTTAAAATCCCTGGAATTCGGAAACTCTTGAGATTTTACATCCAGTGTGGAACAAAAGTTTTACCCATTTTTGATCTTCTAACCAATGATATATATGGTTGTATAACTTTCTGAATCACTTTGTATATCTACTATACGTACGTACAAATTTCGTTTGCCTAGGCACAAAACTACGCTTTAAATGTTCGTATTTCTTGTACTTATACGTATTAAAAGATATCTTTAATACATAGCCATAATATTATTCTTATACGTATACTTAAAAAAAATTACGATTATTTTTAAAAGTAAAGCATAAAAATTTAAGATTATTACAAATTGTTATTATCATTAATACAAGATTGTAAATATAGGAAATTTATATTATTTTTCACAAAAAATATTCTAGTATTTTTCTTTCATAATATTCAGAATAAAATGTATTTTAGTTATACTCCAATTAAGTACCCTTACATATATAAGTATGCTTGTATATAATTTTAATGAAAATGTTTTAAAAATAATCGAATTTTATTAATAATTTTGTTATTTCTGTAACATGTTTAAAATTATCTCAAATAAATTGTAAGAAATCTGTAAGTTTCTTCAAAAAAATTATTTTATAAAATGTTTATATTACATAATATAAATAATATTTCTTTCAAATTTTGAGGCTTTTTCTGTTATAATAACAATAAAATCAGGAACACACGTTAGTGTTAGCACAATGTAATGGTTAAAATACCTTTGAAAAAAGAGTTCTCATTAATTTAAAAATATGAATTATTTATCATCGTCATATACAAAATAAATTATTTCATTTCCAAAACTATTTTTGAGATCCATACAATTTTCAATTTCAAAATAGCTTTGTATAACATAAGTTTTCATAAAAAAATTTATTTAATTAGAAATATGAAAGTTATGACTGAAGTGTTCTGTGCTGATATATTTAAGGTTTAATTAGCACGTAGTTTAGTTGTTTTATTATGCTTAAAAAATGTTTAAATTCCTTTGAATCAAAATATGTACTTCATTATCGTTAAGTTATACTTATAAATCGTATTTCGAGCGCTGACTTTCTTCTATTAAGAAAATAATAATTACGAAATTTTTACATTTAAAACAGTTTAGCTACAGTTTTGTTTGTAGATTATCCAAAATATTCAGTTAAACTTTCTTTGACATAAGTTATAACATTTGAACTGTACATACTTTGTATATGTATTTCGCTATCATTGATTAAAAATTCTTATGAATACCGGTAATCCTCCTGCTTACATGGAATCACTTAAATGTTTGTTAAACAAGAACACACAATAATCCTTTTTTGATTTATACATACCTAAATCAAACAAGGATTACCCACTGAATTCGCTTGAAAATAGCATTTTACTAGAAATATTATTTTTCGACATAATAAGTGCGGCTAATTGAAACCAAAAAAATGTTTAGCTTTAACTCTATAAGTAATACATAAATTTTTGATAAAAAAAATAAATACTTTCAGTTCATTTTTGATGACTACATAGAAATGTGCTTCAACAAATTTATATGATGTATGAATTTTCCATAACTATCATAAACTACGCATATTTACAATTATAAATTTGTTATATATAGTCATGACTGCAAGTAAGAACAGAAATTACAAGTATTTATTCAAAACAAAACTACTTAATTAGTAAGTAAATCCACCTTAGGTCTACCTTGCGCATAAAAAAAACCGTCTGTGAATATAATTTCCTTAATAAGCTGCTCATGTTGGAATTACATTTTAAATTTTTATTTAACAAATCGTTTAGTTCAAATTTACGCAAATTTTCCATTGAAATTTTACTTTAAGACAAGTTAATACTATGTTTAAAAAAAAAATCGCATAACTCTTAAAATAATTTGAATTAAAAATTTATTTGCATGATCTCATTGACTTGAGTCCCTAAAACGTGCAAAAAATTCAAAGGTGACAATATATCAAAAAAAGGTGTTAGAGTATTGAATTTCAAAAAAAAAAAAACATGAAATTGAAGGTAAAAAAAAACTCAAGTCAAAATTTTCTGCTACGACAAGCCCAATGTAATCAAATACTCTTTATTAATTTGCATTGTACATAATATTTAAATTTTTTTATATATAAGTGTGTGCAACGATACATATTATCCTTTATAACACTTAAATAATCAATAATAACAAAAATATTGAGCCGAAATTTCTTTTATACATAAGTGAGTACTCACATATTGTTTTCATGAAAATAATTCAAAATACATGGTAAAAATTTATAAGAAATTCATTTTAAGGTCAAGTCCATAGCATAATAAGAAATTCACGAAAAAATTATTAAACGAGCCGCAAAAAAAAAAAAAAAACACTAAAAAAAACCTTACCAACTAACAATCCTTTTTTTGCAACACTCTTAATTTTAGACTTTAGCATAATGAAAAAGACAAGAGAATTTTATATTTTTAATAAAATATCAAATAACACAATTTTTAATGAGCACAACAAAATTCTTGTATTGATTTGAACATTAATGTATGTTTATATTTTATAAAAATTTGTCAGGACCTGAACCTTGCACTTTTATTCATTCTGAAGAATAAAGGGAAAAACATTTTTTTTTAAATATTTTCCCTTATCCAACTCAATTATATGTGCATAATACTATAGAAATATACGTATACTCGTATTCTCAGTTTAATTTTTTGCGATTTTACGTCAAACCTGATTTTACCAACAAATAAAGCAATAATCGTATATTAATTTTAGTGATATTCCGTTTATTAAAGTTGAATTTTACATTCTTGCTAATTTTTATTAATTAAACATAATATTCCATTAAATTGTAATTTCCAAATAACAACTTGTTTAAGTACGAGTATCTACTTAATTACATATAAATAAATCAGTAAGTAACAATAATAATGTAAACCGAAATATACTCTGAAACACTTGCAATTAGAAAAAACTATTTACAACTTTTTATTTCATTGTTAAAATCATTTAATTAATTAAATATAATTTTACAAGTATGCTTTTAAATACTTATAGAGAACTAAATGTTAATTACATTATAACGACCCAAAAACAATAATTATTTTATTTTAATATTGTGTTAAAAAAGATTTATTTTAAATTTAGAATATTTAGAAATTTTTAATGCAATTTTAATAGGATTTTTTTGTATTCAAAATTTTAAATAAAATAAAATGTAAAATTGTTGTATTTTTAAAAATTAGGTTAAAATTATTACGAATTGCAAAATATAAAACCTTTCTTATATAACATTGCTATACCAAAGTTTTCTATTAATTGAATTGCATTTGTTACCTATTATAGTTAATTATCGATTTTAGTTAACTCAATAATTAAAAATTGATTCAAAAATAAGGCCTTATGTACTCTTGCAAAATTAATTCACAATATTTATTGCAATGATTTTGTGCAATATATTTTTTACGATGACTCAAATAAGTGCAAAATTCAAACCGGCAGCTCAAATTGTTATAAGTAAGATAAAATCGTATAACTAAAAGAAAAAATGCAGTTTTTACTCATTTTAGTTGTTTAAAACAAGTCTAGCATTAGACAGTCAAAAAAGAACTCAGTTATCACAAATTGGTGTATTTAAGGCTTTGATGATATATCAATGTCATTATTAGCGATACTTTTAGAACTTAAAAATTTCCTGAGAGCGGGAGAATACTGTTGTAAATTACAAAAATAATTCTTTAATCTACATACGTATATACATATAATGTACGATTCATTCATGTTAACAAAATAACATCTAATTTTACAAAAAAAAAAAATATTTTCAAAAGAGCAAGAAAATATGTGGCAATAGCCTACCATAGTTTTGAAATGTCATACTTCCTAACCAAAGAAATTTCCTAGATATTAGTAAATATGACATAAAATTCCATTTTATGTCACGATTGCAGGATTTTAAATGTATATATACAGTTCATGTTCACAGTTAATGCTATAATATTTAAAATTTTGTAGAAATGCAAATTATTTCCTTAAAAATTTTCAATAATTTTGATTACTTATGCAATTACATATTTCATTCAATAGTGATTACGAATACTAAATAATTAAGTATGTCACAATTCAACTCACATTTAATTTATTTATATATTTTTAAAATAAATAATTAATTAAAATTTTTTATTTACCGGAATAGCTGCACACATGTCATTATTCCAATTTGACATTTGGTTAAAAATTTCGTCTTCATTGCATTTAACAAAATTCTCTAATGTTGGTGGTATTGGTGGTGGCGGTAATTCAAATTTAGGTGGTGGTAAAAAATAATTAGCACTACATTCATCACAATTAACATTATCGTCCGTTATTTCCCACATATTTTGCATATTCACTTATTCTATTTACTTATATTTAATTATTTATTTCACTTAATCCTTTTTTTTCGCTTAAACTAACGTTAAAATGATTTTCTTATAAAATTATTAAACCTGAAATAGAAAAATAAAAATGAAATTTCTTGAAATAAAATTTTCTTTTTCGTTTATAATTAATATCAAATTAAATAAGAAAATACATACATACATACATACATAAGTAGAAAGTAAAAAATTTCAAAATAAATTTCTTAAAATATAGTCATTAACAAAATTTTTGACTGCTTTTTGGCTATCTTTTATATTTTGTATAAATTAAAAATATTAAAACGTTAACTCATGCGTATCATTAGAGCGTTTGCTAATTATTTCGCTTGAAATAACTGAATAATGGGTACAAAAAACGAATATTTGTTGTAAGTACTCAAATGTAGAACTAAATTAAGTATAGAAATTTTAACCCTAATTTACTAGCTCAAATTTAATCAGTTAATCATAATAATGCTAACTTACATTGCAGCAAATAAACTCATTTTATAGTTTTACTTTTGTATAAGTAAGTAAGTTTTCAAATAAGCAGTTACTTATTTAGTTGTTTGATAAAAATTATTTTACTTAAGTAACTACATAGCCATTTATATATTATATTTTCTTGTTAATTTTAATTCTTAAATTTGAATTTAAGCTTCAAAATTTTTAAATATTTAGACTATTATTACTTGTTAACTACATTAAAACAATTTGTTATGAACTATAGGATTATTTTTATTCATAATTTTCATATTTAAGTATATTATACGTTCGATACTGTGCAATAAAATAACTCAAATTACAAATTAAATAACCTAGAAAATATAAATTAAATAATCTTATCAGAACAAAATTTCTCATCAAAACAAAACGATTATTGCGAACATGAAGAATTAATTGAAAAAAATACAATAAGCATTCTTTATATATTTATAGCTCCAAACCGCCTGCACTTAAAAAGATTATTTTGATAAGTTGTGCTTTAAATTTCACTAACTAGATCACAAATATCGGAATGTAACACTACTGAACCCGATGTAATCTAAATAGCCAATGAGAGAAATCTTAACCCGATGAAATATTCGAATTTAACAATATATAAAATTATATTTAGGTCAAAAATTATGCTACTTAATCATTGTACATAAGTTTTGTTTAATTTGATTGAAATTCGATGAGTAAACAACCTTAGATTAAAGATTTTGTTTGAAAATGTAGAGCATCAATTTTATCAAGCAAAATTTTTCAACAAAGTTTGATCTCTAAATATTGTCCCTGCAATATTTTAATAAAATAATCAAAAAATATCCTAGTACGGACAACACTATTCACTAAAAATTTTTAAAATAGTGCACTGAAATATTTTCTTTCTCTATCCACACATAAGTTTTAGTTTTCTATGAAATTTTAATTATTTTACAAAATTTTGGTTAATTAATGTGAATCAATTATGTTTGAATGTTCTGCAATTCAAATACTTGTGCTTTTCTTACATATTTTTGGAATTTTATTATAAAATCTGATAAATTTCATTAATTTGCTAGCATCCTAGTGTACATAAAAGTAACATACTTCATATACATATGTATGTAAATATTTAAAAGACCTCATACGAAAAAATGTTCAGGAATGGTAAAATTGCTCTCAATTTAATTATGGAGCAATTGAATTTACATCGCAAAAGTAGTTTAACAATAATCTTACTATTTATGACAACGAATATTAGTAATGTTATTTTACCAATTCTAGCTAATAAGTAGAACTTGCAGTATAACATTATCGTCGTCAGAAGCGAAGAGATAAAAAATTATTAAACGTTATTATTCAGTTCAGAAAGAATACCTAAGAATTGAAGAGTCTACGAATTAAGCTCTAAAAGAAAAGTTGACTTATTTGAATCTTAATATACTCCTTTTAACTAGTATTTAACTATTTCTTTTATTAAGTCATAAATAGAATATAAAGCTTTAACTGATCAATTTTAGCAAATTGATAGTCATTAGTCAGCATACTACATATTCGATTTTAACCTTCGATTCTACATAACTGACTTATTTACTTAATATAAAAGATTTAAACAAAAATATTTAAGTAAGTAAGTACTTATTTTTAACTTATTTGATTGATTGTGATTTGTGTTATTTATCTTTACATTCAAATTGACCAGACGCCTATATCTATCTCCACATTATTCAGCAAATAATTCTTTTAAGCTGAATTTTTTTTGTTATACAGAATAACAAAAATTTCAAAGCCAGAATCCAAATATTCTTATAAGTAATTTAGCTATTTAATAACATATTTTATTTCAATCATAAACAATTACCTATACAATTAAAAATCATGTAACCTCAATAAAAATAGAATAATTGTAGGCATATGCATACACATTTTTAGTATATTTTTTATAACTGTGGCGTAATCTAGTATAATATCTATACTGTGATTTAATCTAACAAAATATCAAAAAATGAATATGAAGTACTCGTACTTATAAGTAACAAGAAATCCTAACAAATATGATATTTTTATTATATACACAACGACTGAGCTTAGAAATTATAAGAAAAAAAAACGAGATCGAAATTATTGAAATGTAGCCATTACCATTCTGTACTCTAATGCTGTATATTAGGAAACGAGTATACTACAATTAGATTGAAATATACTTAGCACAAGTCATCATGAATCCAAAAAATACCTATATGACTAAATACAAGTTTATAGGTATATATTTTTTTTACAATTTTTTATTTTTATGCGAATTACAATTTGTATCTATTTAAGTATATGATTGAAATTGCAAACATTACTTATAATTTGTTTTAATTCCATTAAGTACAATTTATAAATAATTTTTATATCTTCACTATACCCAGCTATGAGAAAAAATTGGTATACGTACGTATTCCTTTAAAGTAATAATAAATAATAGATTTAGAATAAAATAATATATTTTGCAGTATTATAGCTGTCCTACATTTTCACTTAAAAAAAAATAAAATTAACTATTAATTGAATTAATATTTATTTATTAATTAATTATGTAGGTACTAATTAAGCTTTCATCACTCATATATTTATCGTTAAGTATTCTTATCTTCCTACTTGTCCACAAACACACCCACATATAATCGCACAACTTGAGATATTATTAAATTTGATCAGAATAAAATCAATTTTTAAATCAGAATAAAATCAATTTCGAAATTCGATATTCCATATTAAAAACCTCAATATCCTTCAATAAGTAAATAACACATCACATTCAAGTGATACGTCTGATATAGAACATGAATGTACTTACGTCTCTACATTAATACAATAAAAGTCAAATACATATTTAGTACATGAAGTGTGTACATATTATGTATAAAGTATGTATGTATGCATATTATCCTTAATAAAGCCCTAGACGCAATATTTTTCTTACCTAGATTCTTTTTTATTTGTATTCCTTTAATATAATTATAAATTCCTTTGATAATTTTTTTAAAACTTAAATAAGTAATATGTATATTGTACACTTTTATGTTAATTGCTTTTCTATATTGTACATACTAATAATTTTCACATAATATTCATACACTTTGGATAATTTCTTTCTTATATTATTTGACAAAGTTGTATTTACACTTTGCTCCTTTATTTATTTTTTTTTTAATTTGTACTTAACTCTCATTTCTTTAAATTTGTTTGAATTCGCATAAAATTCAAAACTTCTTTTCAAATTATTTTATTAGAATTTTTGCTTTTGCTTAAATTTATACACACATCCATATATTCATATATGTAGGTAATTCAAATATTTTTTGGTATTTTAATTGAATTAAAATTGCGTATTTTCAAGCAAATTTTTTTTGCTTTTTTTAATTTTTATTAATCTTTAAAATTTTTTTTTCATTTTAATTTATTTATTAACATTTCTCAATATTTTATTTGATCACAATAATATTTTATCCCAACATTCACAAATTTTTATATTTGAAAAATTAATATTTACTATAAAAAAAAAGAAATTAATATACACCTGAATAACACATGTTTTCACGTCAGTTATCTCTAGAATACTAAACTCTCATCAGTCATTTCATCTCTTCAGCTTCACCGGTTTTTACAGATACAAACAGAAACAGAAGAACAGGAAAAGAATTTCTTTTTTTTTCAAATTCTCTTCTGTTTATGGTTTTGCAGAAATGCTTTACATTTAAATTTAACATTTTAACATAACATGATAATTGGAATATACTACACTTAGGCCTAACAGAGGTGACAAAATAACACTAACAGAGTACAATCCGTACATTCATTGAGTACTCATTTCATTTAGAAACATAACATTCAACATTACAAAGCTCACGACCTTTTTCTAACATAAAGCCATTTTCATACAAAAAAATTATCAAAAGTTGTTTTGCCTTGATCACTTTCCCATTCTCTCATCTTTTGTTCTTTCTTCTCATTAAAATTAGAAAACGGAATTGTTGTTGCAATTGGTTCTAATTTATTATTTATAACCATTTGAATAAAACAGAGATAAAGAAACAAATTGCAAATAAAAAACTCAAAAATGTGATATCGTGGTTCGTGAGATCATAATTCATAGAGATATGTATACATTTTTTTCTCTTTCATAATGAAATGAGTGATAATAATATATTTCATATTTTATGTAATTGTATGTACATATTAATATTAATATAATTGGACATTTAATATTTAATTACACAAAACTAATTACATAAACAAACAAACATTAACATTATCTTATTTTCCCTTTATGTGTGAGTTGGAAATATTTTAATTCATGTAAGGAAGAGCCAAAGAAACTAAAATTGCAAGTATATAAAAGTGAGTGAACTAAATATTAATATTTATTTTAGAACATCTTTGATTCCATTTTATCATAATGTAACACTTTTTTTACTTTTTTTTTTAGATGTAGCAGGTATTTTAAAAAGGTTTCGAAGACAGCGGTCCAAACTACCTATCTATCTATCTGGTGTTTACTTAACACTCTAAGGCGCATAATTAATACCTTACCTCATCTTATTCAAATAAGTATATACTTTTTCTGCTCTAATAATATACCAAAAATAAGATTTTATTTATGTATTTACCCAACAAAAAAAAAAGAATCTGTTACGTTATATGGATTTACTTTAATTACATATTAACTGTTATGTGAATATTATCACGATAAATAAAGAAAAAATCAATTTAACCATTTAGCAAAATAAAAATATCGCATATTTATTCGATTGTATAACTTAGTAATAATAGCTTAAAGAAATGCTTTCAAATTGTAATATAAGTACAGTAAAACCCGTTAAGTGCGCCTAAAAAAATCCAATTTTTGTCCGGTTAGACGTCTTAACCGCACCTGTTTAACTGCGCAAATAAAAGGCTTTAAGCGGGTTTTCAATAATGTTTTCAAAATATTGAATTAAAGCTGTTATTATAATTTTTTTTATTTTTTAAAAATTTTGAAATGACTTAATTGTTGAAATTCATTTGACATTAGACGTATGCGCATTCTATGAAAACAATTTACTTTTCAAATACTTTGAAAAATATTTTTTTTTGGTTTGTACTTGAGGCAGCAAAGCGATTAATTTTAGAACCAATTGAGAAAAATGTGAAAAAAAAACTCTTAGATTTGACATCACTGAATAGCATTAGAAAATTTAATAATAAAAATGTTTATAATATTTAATCAAAATGCACCAAAATATGAATAAATTTTGGTATACTTAATGCGCCTAAATAATAATAAAATTGAAATATTTCTAGGAATTAAAATTTTTTTGTAGATCAATCACTGATATTTCTTTGTAGCACGTACATCATTTAAACTTAGTTTGATAAAAGTTTTACTTGCTGTTTATATATACGAAAAAATCTGAGGTTTGATCCGAGTTTGATACAAATCGTATACGTAAATCCTGTTTGATATCAGTTTTTCTAATGGAAAATAATAGAAATTACTCTTCTAATCAGATCTGAAACGTTCTGGAAGTTCAGAGGAAGCGATCACCTGACTTAAAATATGGCTATAATTAAGATTTTGTGGTATATGCAAACAAAACCGTATATTTTTATGTTAGATTATAACAAATTTATCATTAACAGCTGGTAAAACAAAACAAAAATAAATTATGAGATATCAACAATTACCGTTGCAAATATTTGGTATATACATACTTTAAAAGATAAATGTATATGTCGCGATTGTTCCAAGTGAGAAATGTTTAATTGCGAATAATTTTTCTGCAATTAAAAAAATTGCATTTTGAAGTTTTTCATATTTTTAACTTTAATACACTTAGCAAATAGAAAGTTTTTGCTAAATTAGTTTGCAGTTATACTGTTGAAAGTATTTGAAAAAATCTTTAACCTTTTAACCGGGTTTCGTATTATGCAGGATGCAATTATTCGTAATTGACTATATTCGTTAATATTATATGTATGTATGTATATATAATATATATCAATACTTTGATGCTCTTTATTGACACATTTTACAGGAAGAAATATTGTTTTATGAAGATCTTTACTGCAGTTCACCTTTTCACCAGATTTGTTGGTCTTTCAATCGAAGTTTTTGTTTGATCTGTATTTGTATAACACGTTTAATTCTGCTTTCAAGCTAAATTTTGGTAAAAAACAATAGTTAGATTCAGTTCATTTTTTTGAGTTATTAAAAAATTCTTTCCAATCACCGAATAATACTTCATTTTCAAAACTTTCCCATATATTTAATCTTCATCTGAAGTGAATGTACACTTACTCTTTCCTTACCCAGCATTTACACGTACAAGTTACTTGCAAGAAAGTTGCAATACATACAAAAATTTTACTAACACATTGAAATATTTCTACTTGCTTGTTTACTTGCAGTTCAACTTGCAAGAAAATTTTGCTGCCAGTAATTTGAGCAAGTAATTTGACATATTCAGAAATTCACAAAAAAAAATTTGTTGTTTTGATTTTTTTTTTTTTTTAATTTAAAATTTTTGAATTTTGTTTTGAAAAAATTAAACTTAGCAAACTTATGGTTTCTAAAATTTATAAACAATTATTATTGCTAGTTGTTTTCTTCTCAAAGACATTTTCAAAAATTAACTTGCTAAACGCCTACGTCATAATAGCAAGTAATTTGACATTTCGAAAAACTAATTGACAATTAATATTATACAAACTTGCTTGCAAGTAACTTGTATGTGTAAATGCTGGGTTAGTAAAACATTTACTGCCAATTTCAGTTTTTTTCTTTCGCATACTTTGGCAGTTGTTCAGATTGTAAAAGATTGTAAATTGCATATAAACATATAAAAACTTTAAGGGTTTTTCCATAGATAATATTAACTAATATAATATGGGTTTTTCAGTCAGACACACAAAAAAACTCAAAATGAAAAAAGAGGCAGTTCAGTAATCCAACGGACTTTTTTAATTATGGTAATGATTGAGAAATGATGAAAATTGCACAAAATATGATAGGACGCTGGAAATGGAACACATAGTGATTGATTGAGCTTGCCTTTAGACTGATTGATAGAAAATCAGCTGTACAATATTATTTGTTTTAGGTTATGTCAGTCGTAAATTATTTTCGAAAATGTATCAAGAATTATATTAACTTATAAATCACAGTTTGTTTTAATTCCCAATTTTAGCCATAAAAATTAAAGATTATTTAGAAAAACCAATTACAATATATTAATTCTTAATAATTTATCTTCGAACATAAATATATTACAAAATGCCCATTATGGAATATTTATCAAGTCTTTCGGGTAATCCTTATTTTGGTGCTGGATTCGGCTTGTTTGGTATTGGAGCTGCAGCAGCAGCTGCAAGAAAAGGCTTACAAGGCGGATTAATATTATTTAGAAGACATTTCATGATTACTTTAGAAGTTCCATGTCGTGATAAATCATACCAATGGTTATTACAATGGATAACATATAAGGGTGCGAGACAAACACAACACCTTAGTGTTCAAACATCTTATGTTCAAAAAGATACAGGTCATGTAAAAACCACATATGACTTTATTCCAAGTGTTGGAGTGCACTTCATGAGATATGGGAAAACATGGATTAAAGTTGAAAGAACAAGAGAGCAAAAAACTTTGGATCTACATATGGGTGTTCCTTGGGAAAGTGTCACATTAACGGCTTTTGGAACAGATAAAGGTTTATATTTTAATATTTTAGAAGAAGGTAAGTAAACGTTTTTTCATATAATAGATTAAAATGTTAAATGTTGTAAATTTGACCAGTTAGCACGACAACTAGCGCTAAAAGAAACAGAAGGAAAAACAATAATGTATACAGCTATGGGAGCTGAATGGCGGCCTTTTGGCCACCCCAGAAAAAAGAGACCTATTGAATCAGTAACTTTGGAACCAGGGGTAGCAAATCAAATCGTAAACGACTGTAAAGATTTCATACAAAATTCTAAATGGTATTCAGATAGAGGAGTTCCATATAGAAGAGGATACTTGCTACATGGACCGCCAGGATGTGGGAAATCTAGCTTTATTACTGCATTAGCCGGTGAATTGGAATATGGAATTTGCGTATTAAATTTATCCGATAAAGGATTAACAGATGACCGACTTAACCACTTATTAAAGTAATTAAGTTGCGACCAAAGAAAATGTAGAAAAATAATTTTAATTTCAGTGTTGCTCCAGAGCAAACAATCATTCTTTTAGAAGACATCGATGCGGCGTTTATTTCACGGTTGGATACACAACAACAAAAATCTGCGTATGACGGCTTAAACCGTGTAACATTTAGCGGATTACTTAATTGTTTAGACGGCGTTGCATCTTCTGAAGCCAGAATAGTGTTTATGACGACTAATTTTATAGAACGGTTGCTAAAAACTGACCGTTAAGAAATGAGAAAATATGATTTATACTTCTTTTTTATAGACTTGACCCCGCTCTTATAAGACCAGGCAGGGTGGATGTTAAACAATATATAGGATATTGTGTAGAACATCAAATCGTAGAAATGTACAAAAGATTCTATACAAATGAAAAATCTGAAGAAAGTGCAAATAACTTCGCTAAAAAACTCCTTGCTTTTGAAAAACCAGTATCACCCGCACAAATTCAGGGATATTTCATGATGCACAAATTATCAGATAGTCAAACAATTTTAAATAATGTTGGTAACATTTGGAGTACAGACAAAAACCTAAAAGGGATTGAAAAAATATCTGCATAAGTAAAAAGTTAAATTTATTTTTTAACTGCATGTATTTTTATATTATAATGTAAACTTTACCTATACTTGTAGGACGCAAATTATTGAAACAAAAAATAAAAAACACCGAAAATTCATAGCGAAAAAATTTCATTTATGTATTTATCTCTTGATCAGACGTAATTTTTTGCACTTAAAGAGGGTCGAGAAACGTTGTTTAGAATTGTTTTTTGAAATATTTATTTTCAATTAGTAAAGCATTAATGTGGCCTAGTACATTGAAAAATTATATATGTAATTATATAACAAGGAATTTCAAAAAATTTTCAAAAAATTTTTTTAATCATTGCATATATTTATACATTTATCGGAAAACTCAGTCTTAATAATTATTTGTATTTTTCTTATTTCCGCTTGTATCATTGCCACCACCTCTTCTGTTGTAATGATATGGATTGTTTTTATTACCGTGGTAGCCTCCACGCCAATTATTGTACCTGTTTCCGCTATCCCCACTTCTACTTCCAAAATTTCCCCTATGATGGAAATTATTACCCCTTTGTTGATGTTGATGCGTATTCCAAGGCTCCACAATCGGCGGATCTGTTAATTCCTTCTGACAATGTGCTACAAATTCTTCATCGTTTTCAGTATAACGATAAGCAAATTCTTCTTCACATTCGTCCAAGAACTCAATATCTTTATCAGTAAGACGATTAATTTTCCGATTTGGATCGACCATTTTGAGTTGTTGCTTTATTCTACAATACCCTCAGAGATCTTGTTTATATTGTGTAGCAATAATTGATTTTAGTTCTTAAAAAAGAAACAAAAAAAAATATGAATATATACAAAAAAATATTTAATATTCCACAAACCACTTTCAGCTACTATATTTCTTAGATCAATTGCATAAAATCCTTTATCAGACGGTAGTTTTAAACTTGGCAATGCCGTCTCAATTGGTTCAAACATCCAACCTAAAATATTTTGTAAGAGAAATTCTATGTTGAAAGCTAGAACAAACATGTAAATAGATACCTATGTGAGCAGAGCACCTCGGGCAAAAGCAATATTTCCAAGCGTATCCTTCAAAAAATGTATACAAAGTCTTCCAGTTGTTATCTATTATTACTAATGAACAGCTAGCTTTTTTTAAAACAATTATTTCAAATTGTTCCTTTCTTGCATTACCAACTAATTGCACGATTACCTTTCTCTTACCAAATAATGTTTCATTTGAGTACGCCAAATATTTATCACTTAGTTTTGTAACAATAAGGTTCGTTGGAGCTGTATCAGATCCGCACCCTCGGCAAAGAAGATAGTCTTTAAGCAAATTAAATGTTTATTTAAAATGTATGTATGCAATTATTATTATATATAAAAAAATCCCTAGCAAACTAAAGCTTTTGATTTCGTTATACGTACATATATATGTATGTATGTACATTTTAATTTATTAAAGTTAAACCCACACTTTGAAGAATTAAATTTCATTATAAATTTTTAATTTATATGTTACCTTCTAAAACAGTTTCTTCTGCTGACTCAATTGAATTATCTTGTATAGTTAATAATGAATTTTTACTAAAACAAATAATTATGTATAAAATAATGAAAAAGTTACAACCCCAAATCATAATTTTTCATCCTTCTCGTTTTGACGTTTACTACTAATTGCTAATGTTAATAATATTAATATTTTGCAGTTTACAGAAAACGTCAACAACAATTGTCAATCGTTCCTATGCGGTTTTGTTGTCCACGTTCAATATTTCGTTCAAGGTTGCGATTGAAGAGTTACCAGTAACAATGTTCCAATATTTATTTTACTTGAAACATAAACTCTCTTTCATAAAAAGTTAGGAGATAGATGCATAGAATCTTATACCATTCTTAAATTTTTTTTTAGTGTTTACTTTTTAAGGCACCTTTTTAGGCTTTATTGAAATTTTTATTAAAAGAATTCAAGAAGGTTTTTAATTAAAATCAGAGTATAATACAACCAGTTAAATTTTTATTAAGTTTTTAATCTGAACTTACGAAATTTTGGGCTTTAATTTAACAACTTTTCAAACTTTGTAAAATTTTATATATTAAAAATTTTAATTTGCAGTTACATATACTTAAGTTCTATTTGCAAGTAGTGGTAGCATTTTAATGACAGCGTCTGCAAAAAATTAGATTTTACTTTTACTTGACTTTTTTGAATATTGGTACAATTGGCGGTTTTGATTTTCGTAATGCTTATCAAAATGTAAAAGTAAAATTAAATCCAATTAAATTTTTAAAGAAAAACTTTTAGTATGTCATTTAATATTGACATTTGACTTTAGTTTTTTTATAGTTTTGTTTATCAAAATGCTAAGTGAACAGTAGAATAAAGTTGACATAAAAAGTGTGCATTTTGATAGACACTGTTTTTCTTTACTTTTTTCAAAATTGCTTCTTTTAGCTCACTTAAAAAATTTAAAAAAAAATTTATAAAGCTCAAAATATGACTTTTTTAAGAATTTTTTACATTCAAAAAATTTATTTTTTGAATGTTTAATTTCATAATTGGAAAAACAGATTATTTGGGAACAAAACATAAATTTTTATAAATTTTAAAATAAACGTCAAACTTTTTACTAGCGCATGTAAACGTAAAGATCAATTATAAAACCGAGCGAATTTTCGATCTATTGTACGAGGGTCACTATTTATATTTCGGGTCCTGGCAATACTAGTGCTGCCAGGTGCAATCTGACACTTCCATTGGAAAGTTTGACATTTTTTAGGACAACTTCACTCAGAACGTTTTGTCATTCGAGCGCGAATTGTTTTGTTTACAGTGACTTGAAAAATTCATCTCGGTCAAAAAATGGAATTGTCCCGTGAAAATTTTCGTGCGATGATTTTTTACGATTTTCGGCACGGATTATCGAGACAAGAGTGTCTCGATCAACTTATTTCGACTTTTGGTGATGAAGCACCATCAAAAACCACTGTAAATTGCTGGTACCAAGAGTTTGGTTTCGGACGCCGTTCGCTCCAGGATGAATTTCGTGAAGGTCGGCCAAGAAGAAATAAGGAAAACAAACAAGCGCCGGCGAATCATTCTTCATCATGACAATGCAAGCTCTCACAAATCAGCTGAAACAATGGACTATTTGAGCACTCAAAATGTCGAATTGATGGGTCATCCGCCGTACAGTCCTGATTTAGCACCCAATGACTTCTTCTTATTCCCTCACATCAAAAAAAAAATGCGTGGACAACGATTTTCAACACCTGAAGAAGCAGTCGATGCGTTCAAAAACCATGTTTTGGAGGTGTCTCAATCGGAGTGGAAAAAGTGCTACGAAAATTGGTTTCAGCGCATGCAAAAGTGTATTGATCTTCATGGGGAATATTTTGAAAAACAATAAAACCATTTCCAATGATAAATGTTTGTTTTTTATTGCTAGACCCGAAATATAAATAGTGACCCTCGTATAATATTGACTTACATTTATGACTAAATGTATAAAGATCTACATTGTACCAAGGACATTAAAAATACTATTAATAAAGTAATTGATTGTACTATTATTACAAGTCTTTGATTGTACATACCCATAGGGTATGTTCTTAAACATTTTATGATATTTTTCAAATTTTAGGTTGATTCAACTCTCTGAGTTCAAAATTGCAGCAACAAAATTGAAGGAATATTTATGAAACTCCACTTTTTATATATGTGTGAATTTTCATATATGTACATATGTATAAAATCGTTACAAATCAGAAGGAGCAATGAATCCTGTTTCCAATTTTACGATTTGATGAATGTTAAATGATCGTTTATTCATTTTGATTCTTGCATGGTCATGTATCGTGTAATACCACTCGAATACATTTATTCAAACTTGGAAATCTAAAATTATGTGTTCAAATCCATATATACTGTACATACAAACATACATAAATTACTATTGCATTAATTAAAAAAATGCCATATAAAAACAAAAGAAAGTTAATATAAAATTTTGATAAAATAATCAAAAACATACAATTTACTATAAAATTAATTGAAAACGAGAGTAAAACTTATAGCAATTGACCTTTCCACTTGATAATCAATTAAAAATTTCTTATTACTTCCAAAATTCTTAATTTTATTTGTAAATTAAGTTTACTATTTCCAAAGTAAAAAAAATTAAAAATAATTTAAATACCTTTATTTTTTAAAAATATAAATATTAAGTTCTAAAACAAAAATTTGTTTAAGAAAATAAACAAAAGCCCTCTTAATTACAATCAACTGTCTCTCACTTAAAATAATGAGTTTTTATTATCCTTTAAGAGCTAGTTTAAAAAAAAAATACAAGAACTTTTAGCATTCGTAAAAATTTAGAAAAAGATAATTTAATGATTTGCTCATGAATATAAAGTTATCTTAAAGTCATTTTATTTATGAAAATATATTAAGGAAAGAGACTTACTCCTAGTTAATTAACCATAAAAACAAAATAAAAATATATACTTATATTTGTATATCTATATTAATGTTTTTTGATTTTGCAATTATTAAAATATTAAATACACACATCGTGGAAAATATGGAAAAACTTGTTTTAGAGACTATCCCAAATTGCAGACAAAACTTGATTAATCATAAATTATTACCGTGGAAATTTTGATCTGTTTCAAAATAACTATTTTTGCTAAAACAAAAACTATATTTTACATAGCTATGTATCAAGTAATAAATATATATATATGCTAGCCATACAAATGGTTTTTAATTAAAAAGTTTAAGTGTGTACCTAGGCACCGCTATTCACAAAAATTTTAATTTAAAGTTTTTATTATTTATAAATGCCGGAAGTCTTACAATTAAATTAAATCGGTAATGAGCATTTGTAAAATGATTTATTTGCCGTCATTAAAAACATAAAAAAGACGGTTTTAGGATGCACATGAATGATTTTTAGTACACAGCCTGATGATGTATCAAACAAGATTTTTTTTTAAATTTTCAGAAGCTGACGCCGACGAAAATCCGCGTTTTAAAGCTATAAAAAATCAAAATTACATCCTAAAGCCAATACAAAATTTATGGACGACATAAAACATTATCAAAAACTACTCATTAAAAAAATTTTCTAAAAAAATGTACATATTATGAATTTATTGAAAAATTTAACAAAAGAATGTGTTCAATCCCATATTTGTTTTCCTAATTTTTGTTTTTAAACTCTAATTTTGAATTTCTAATAGAATTAACATATTTTCTTGCAACTAAATTATCATGGATAAAAAAAATCAACAATTTGAATCCCAAGATGCTGAAATCAAAATATTTGTCGCTCTGTTCATGAAAATTTTTTAATTTCTTTCAAATATTTCTTTTATTTTAAGCAATTTGCTCTTGCCCATTTGCGGCTTCCTGATTCTTCATTACATCAGGCAAATCAGGCGGTGAAGAATATGGAGTAATTTCAAGGCATTCAAATTCAGGTGTTGCAACGTTATTCAATCTAAAAATAAAACAAACTTTTAAATTTTCACAACATCTAGATTGTAGATGAAATTTTCAAAACATCTAGATTGTAGATTGATTTCAAACTGTAATAAAACTAGGCTTCTAACGTACCGTATAGCTAATCCAAGTTGAGCCGGTGCTTGAGCTTTTGCTGTTGACATTGTTATACCATAGTATAGCAGAGTTTGCTCATCTTCCATTGGTATATTATCCTTATTATATAATATCTGATCTGACGGTTTTACCTTTAGAATTCCTAGTTAAAATAAGGATGTATTCAAATAGCTAGAATCTTTATAACTAAGTTTTTTACCTTCAATCATTCTTTTAAGTTCACTCACAGTAGTATTTTCTTTGGCATCTGTAAAAATTGTAGTTTTTTGCCGCCTTATCATTAAAAAAACGTCCTATAATTAGAAACATATAAATGGTAATGAAAATTCTTCCAAAGCTATATTTTGAAAATATTTAATTTTAACTATTTTTGCATGGTATTACTTAAAGAACATCAATCATACAGAAAAGATTAATAAACAATTAAGATGTAATAAAATAACTGATCAAAGTTCAGTATGTGTGTATATACTTTTCACGCTTGTTTTGTAGTCTGGATTTCAAAACAGAATGTAAAATAACTTTATTCAAAAATAAAATCTTACCATTTCAAAATGTCAGACTTGCAAGCCTTTTCTCTATTTTTCACAGACAAAATTTATTAGTGCTAGATTTTTCTTAAAATAACATTTATTTTTGCAAATAAAACTATTCTTCTAGAAATAAATAAATGGGAAAACGTCCTTATATGACTATTTAATTTCTTTAATTAACTTTTATACCAGCATTCACAAGTCACAAGTCAGAAGTTTATTTCAAATTAAATTTCCGCTGTCACATCAAATGTCATTTATTTGAAGTTTAAGTTGATAGATAGTTTACACATTTTACTGTTTTCATGCTCCCTTTCAACATTTTGGAAATAACCAGAAGAAAAACGTCACAGCCGAGTGTTACTTTCAGACGAATGTTCCTGTCAGACTTCCTATTTCTTTTTATTCTAACACAATTAGTTACAAATAAATAAAAAAATTAGTCTGCAAAGTAATACACGATTAGTTCATAATTGCATTTATCATGAATTTTTCAACGTTCTTATTTTTGTTTTTAAGTTTTACAAAATTTTATTTTATTTTTTATATAAAAATCAGTCATTGACTTGCGGCAAATAATGGAAAGCACTCTATTCTCATTTACTTCTACATCTTATTAAATATAAATGGCAGACAGAAATAATTTTTGCGATAATTTGGAATAACGATCAGTAGATTTTTAGTTTGGTTGTAATTTTCTTAGCAAAATAATTCAATTTCGAAGTAAAATTTGAACTCTATTAGATAATTTCTATATGATATATAAACATCTATCTGACTTAGTCGTAGATTTAATCTTAGATTTTATCATACATATATGCAAGTAGTTAATATCCTACATGCATGAAAAAGTTCTTATAACAGTTTTATATATATATTACTGACCAGCAGTAAAGTTTATAATTCTTTTTTTGCGGTGAATGGCAACGGCGGAAGATTTACGTGGTTGACATAACAGCAACCGAATGGCAAAAATAACTGTTCAGTATTTCGCACAAAATGTCACACAAACATAAAAGCAGATGATGTAAACAAAAACCACCAACGATAAAATAAAATTTTAGATTATTTTGGTAAAATTAATTCTGGCCAATCCCATTTATATATATGCATTGTATTCTACAGAATTTTTGACATTTCGCAGCGGAAAATCACTCTTTTTAAAATTAAAATATGTAAGTAAAAATTTGAAACGGTACTATGTATTTTTTAGGTTCATTAAAGCAAATTCTTTTTTCAAGAAAATTTGAATAAAAACAAATATTTTATTTGTGCAAAACAATTAGTTCTCATGTCATTCATCAAAATGCAAATATCGGTCATAAAAATAAATAATTATTACACGAAATTAACTTATTTTGTGAATTGAAATCCTGTTTCCAATTTTGAACGAAAATAATTTTTTGTTGTGCCATTCCAGTTTATGTTTCATTTATTTGTTTGGTGTACAGAACTGATTCTTAAGATTCTAAACGGGTTCCTCACAGCCGGTGTAACGTCAAAAAAAAAAAACATGAGCTCTTGTTGAAAATTTAAAAAGTTGTTCATATATCGTTTATTTACTAAATATTTTTCAATAATTATACTATATTGTAAAATTGAAATTCCAAAACATTATATTTGGCAGTATTTAAAGTTGATAAAAATTGTTATAATATGTAAGTAAATATTAAAATTATCACTTCTAAAATTATTGGTGCGTTGTTAAAAGTTAATGCAAACTTAAACAAAATTTAAGTAACTTCTACAGAAATTAAGCAAAATATTTCTTATGAGCAGCGCCGATTCTAATTTTGGCATTAATTAGCGTTAGCGCATGAGAAAATTTTAATAATGCTCCAAAAAGCGTATAAAAAATTCGTTGTAGCATATTGTACTTACAAGAGTTCTTTAAAAAAATTAAGTACCTAAGGATAAAGATATCTTTAAATAAGAATAAAATTACTATATATACTACTACTACTATTATAGTACTTCTAATATAATTAAAAATGAAACACAAAAACATTTTAAATATATCATAATTTACTTGTATGGCTTTTAAATACTTTAATACGTACACAATACTATGGAATCCAATTAACAAAACAAATTATACACCTATCACAATATTTGAAAAATCAAAATTTAAAATATACTTAATATTATTAAGTTACTTGAGTGTTCATATACATACCCCCAATAACTTTAAATTTAATATTTTGACAACATATTTTACTTAACATAATCATACATTTAGATGTACATATTTGTTAAAATTTAAAAATCATGCAATTAAAACTTAAATATCTAAAAAATTTTACTGTTGAGATGGAAATAATTTGTTAAAATGCTGAACATAATCTGAAAAATTAAAGAATAATTTAAAAACCCTAAAAACTTATAATTTTAAATCAAACTTACTATTAAGAGGTTCTATATTTTCACGTAACTTTAGATTTCTTTGTTGAAAATATTTGAAAGTAGCATAAAATACTAAGGGGTCTTTTGTCGATTTTGCTGCTTCCAAATATTTTCTAGCTGGGATGGTTTCTGCTGAATTTCCTGGCAGAGATTTTAATATTTTTAATGCATCAACAATTTTTCCCTGCTCAAGCAATACTTCCAAAATAAACTAGAAGAAATAATAACATATTTTATTCGAATATTAAAAACTATTAAAGCTTCCAATACTTCAGTAGCGTTAATTTTCTTTAACATATCCAAAGCCGTTTGAGTTATTATTGGATGCACATTTGAATGAGAAAGCAAAAAACACGCAATCGGTTTGGATTCCATTATTAATGAATAATCCACTAATCTTTGGAGAGTTCCATAATGATTATTCCTTATCAATTCGGAAACTATCATTTTACTAAGATTTTCTTCTGCGATTATTTCATGTTTATTTAATGAATTAATATAAAGCAACAAAACCTTTTATCAAAATATAAACTGTAAATTTTTTTTATACTTCATACAAATTAAAAAGTTATATTCAAACCTTTTCGGCATGAGGCTTTTCAGAAATAGAAGCAAATACACGATTTTGCATTTCCGTTTGATCTATTACTACCCTAGGAAGTGTTGGTAATTTAGGCAAATTCTTTTGTGAGGAAGGTAGAGCCGTTTGATTATGCATTTGGATTATTAACCAATCTCTGAAATTCATGTAAATTTACATAACATTTTTTGTAATTTATAGAAATCTTACTTATAAAATTTATTAATTTTGTCAAATATATTCTCTAAAGTTGGTAGTAAAGTGCCATTGTAATTCTCATCCACCAATTGCTTCAAAACTCTTAAAATTACTACCTCTCCATGAACTCTCTGCAGCAAAAATTCTATTAAACGAACTCTATCCGTTATAAGATTGCAAAGAGAGTCCATTTGCAAGCTTAAATACCACATACAACCTAATTTTGCATCTATAACTACATTTGGTTGAAAAACAACCCAGTTTATGGAATCTTCAAAACAAAAATTTGAAAAATTGTTCAATTATTTTTGGCTGTTATTATAATTACATAATTCACAATCCATCGTTTGTCCATCTGGCGACAAGCTGGGTAATTTTAAAGAAAAAGGTTTTATCGTCCTTCCCGGTGTCACAGGCGCATGATATGTTACATCATTAATGTCTTCACCTTTCAAATTAATATCAAATAACATTGAGGTAGCTGAAGCCTGATGATGTACTATAATTAAATTATCCACGACATTCATCGCAAATCGTCCACCATGACCTAACCGCAAAACGTGAGATTTTCTCGGTGCAAGTCCTGGTCCATCTAGCAGATAAACTAAGACTTCTAACAAACGGTTTGAGTTTTGTTGCAATATAAGTACTGCTAATTTTCCGTATATCTGTCCCAAAGTCACCTCTCGCTCAGGTATTTCTCTATTAGTTTCCACTAAAAAGAATATTAAAACTACGTCTTTTTGTTTTATTTTACTTACAGTCTAGTTTCGGTAATTTTTCTATCACTTTTTGTTTTATTCTAACAGGATAAATATTATTTCCTTCGCATGATAGCAGTGCTAGATTCCCTTCGGAACACCAAGTAAACCATTTCACAGGCATCGGGGAACTTTTAATTAATTTCATTTGTTTTTTCTCAATATTCGTTGTAAATATTTGTATTCCATTTTCAGAAACTATAGCTACATCTCTGTTATGTACCCAAAAAAAACCATATATAACATATTTTGAGTTATATTGAATAATTTCGTTAGGCTGAGGTTGTCCATCCCGAAAACATATGAATTCAACCAAATTTTCTTTTCTGGTAATATGTACATTCAATTAAAAAAATCTAAATATGTGCAATATTTGTCTCTAACCTTTGAACTGCCAAAATCTTGTTATCGGGAGAAAATTTAATAGATCTAATCGGACCTTTATCATCCATGCAAAAAGAAATTATATCCTTTTCTGTGGGACCCTTTACCACAACACCTGTGGCTCCTCCAGAACGTACTGTAAATATCTTGAAATTGCATGAGTATATCAATTGTTTCGAAGTCTATTTATTGAAAAAACTACCTGTTTATTCGAATCGTCGAAAAAGGCATTATTTAATTGACTAGCAGCGTCAAATCTTATTGGATTTTTGCATAACTCAACATAGTATAAGTCCTCCATATTTTTTTGTTATAGAACAATTTTCATACTTAGTTTGAATACAATAACAACTTATTAATTTTAACAATTAAAAACTTATAATTTTTGGCTTTTATTGAACAACGTTACGAATTGGATATAAAATTAAGGCCTTAAAACTTTTTTAGAAATGTCAAATGTCATCAAACATCTACATTTACACACATTATATATTTCTCCTAGTAACAAAAGGTAAGGTTCGGACGTATGTTTTGAATGTATAGAGTGTAGGAATGGCTCTAATGCATAAAAAATTTAGTTTTTGATAGTTTTAAATAAGATAAAAAAACTCCTTTTTGAGGGACCTACTTCAAAATTTAAACTGCAAATTAAAAAATTTCAGATGATTTCAATACTAATTGGGTTAAAATAAATGTATAACGATGAATTTCCAGAAATGTTTAGTGGTATTTCTAAAAAAATGTCAAATGAAATGTCAAAACAAACAGAAATATATGCACGAGGAAATATTTAAAATATGCAGTAGACTTCAGGTCAAGTATATTTTAGTCTAGCTAAAAATACTAGAGCATATTTTTTATACATGAAATAACAAGAATATTTTGCACAAATGATTTCCAAATTCCAACACTCCTTGCGATTTTTGTACAAATTCGTAAATCACATTTTATTTACTCTCTGAAATCGGTGGTCTGATATTTACACTTGTATTCATTGAGTTTTTGTACAAACAATTAACATTTACTTTGTCCGAGCCACAGGGACATTAACAAATACACTTTATTTATTATCGGGAGCATAAAAGAAGTGTTGTGCATATGCTCAATGCACACGTACGAATAAGCTCAATAAATTGTCGTGTAAAAAATCGTGGTAAGGTCGTTTTACACGATCAAATAAAATTGTTAAGAGAATAATTTCCGTTTAATTACGGTAGCAGAAATGCAAAATAATTTTATAGATTAATATTGTCAACCAAAATTGATCGTGTAAAGTTCATAACAAATTTAGTTGTGTAGTTTGTAGCTTTGTATCTGTACTTTCATCAAATTTATTCAGTAATTTTTAAAAATTTTGATTTTGAAAAAAGTTTATTGTGTGAACTTTAATCGTATTGTTGTTTACAATAAATTCTTGTATCCTCATATTCTGATATTCTGATATTCATATGGAAAAATCTCCCCATATCGAATTACAGATTGGTCAGAAATTTTTCACACATGTGATCCTATATGGATCAAATTTGAAATTCTGTTCGACAAATTTGTACGAGTATAAGTATGTTGTTTTAAATCATTAATTATTTTAAATTAAATTAGTTAATTTTAATTTTATTTTTATTTGGAATATAACACTATTACTTTTTTTTATTTGAGAAATAATCTGAGAATATGGTTTTATAAATATTGATTTAACTACAAATTCTTTAAAAATGTTTATATATGTATTATATAAACATATTTTGTTTTGGTAATTTCCCTGTTTTGATATTTGACGATACTATTCTATTTTTATTAAGTACCTACTCAAATCAGTTATTTCTAAAGTTGTTCTAAAATATTGTTTAACTGTAGTCAATTGGTATTGAAGTTTTTCAATTTCAATTTCAGGAAACAATTTTCTAAAAATCCTAATAAAGCAGATGATTCTGATTATACTGATGATGAATTAGGAATTGACGAAGTTGAAGACATAATATTGCCAAATAACGGAAATGACTTGTCTCATTCTGAATCGTCAGATATTGGCATATCAGAAAGTGAGGATGAATCTGATTATATTCCAGATTCAGACTCAGATTCTGAGAATAGTACAACTAATATTCAAGAACCCACCACAAGTAGAGCAGGAACAAGTAGAGAAACAAATACTAGCAAGAAAAATGGCGATGATGATGATGATGATGATGATGACGATGATGACGACAATGACGAAACGATAAAAGCTATTAAGAATGCGATTAAAAAACCTAGAACACATCCACCAGAAATTAAAACACCAGATTTTGTAGTGGACTTAAGCTTTCATCCTAGTGAAGATATATTAGCCTTAGGAACTATAGTTGGAGATATTTTGTTATATAAATATTCAAATGATGGAAACGATTTAATTAAATCTTTAGAAGTTCATATGAAACCATGCCGGTCCGTTGAATTCGATGACGACGGAGAAACTATATTATCTGCATCTAAAGATAAGTCTATTATGTTGACCGATGTGGAAACTGGAAAATTGAAACAATTTTATGATAAGGCTCACAATGAACCAATTTATAAATTGTATGTTATTGATGAAAATCTGTTTTCAACTGGTATGTTCATTATATTTCAATTTTATGAGAAATAATATTTGATGTTTAACATATTAAGGTGATGAAGCTGGGACATTAAAACTTTGGGATCGCAGGCAAAAGGAACCTATTTTCAGCTTGAAGGAAGTAGAGGACTATATATCATCAATATTAACAAATGATGCGAAAAAACTGCTATTATTTACTAGTGGTGATGGTTATTTGACAGCGATAAATATTGCAGCTAGGTAAATTCACAACCTAAACTTTTGAAAACAATTTTCCAAATATTTGCAATGAAATAAACGTTTCTTATTCAATTTGTATTTTTTTCCAGGAAACTTTTTGTGCAATCGGAGCCTTACGATGAAGAATTAAATTGTATGGGGCTATATAGAAATGATTCAAAAGTTATAGTTGGTTCATCAAAAGGTAAAATTTATTCGTTTAATTGGGGACAATTCGGTTATCATTCGGATATGTATCCTGGTGTTAAAGCACCAATTGAATGCATGATTCCAATAACAGATAGAATAGCATGCGTTTCTGGTGAAGAAGGAATACTAAGAGCAACACATATAACACCATTTAAAAACTTAGGTGTTGTCGGACAACATAAATTAGCTGTTGAATCCATGGATATTAATCACTCTGGGGAATTTATTGCATCATGTTCACACAATGAAGATGTGTTTTTTTGGAATATTAAGTACTTTGAAGATTTTCATGACATAAAATTTAATGTTAAACACAATGAATATAAAGATCGGAAACATAATTTGCCATCATCAAAAGTTTCAAATGCCTCGGATTTTTTTGCTGATTTAGCTAACTAACTTGTAATAATTGTTTTATTACAAATACATATTATAATTTGTATGATTTTCTATTAATAAATTAAAAAGAAGTAATAATTATTTCATAAAAATTTCTTTATTAATTTATAAAATAATTTTCTTAATGGTAGTTTTGAATAGAATATGAACCCATTATTTTCTTCACTTTTTCCCTGTATTACTGTAGTTCTTGATACGCTATAAGTATTAAAGACATTTTATAAAATTTTCAAGAGGGAGCTCGGCTGTTTTTTGTTTTTTACATAATATTATCTTTATATATTTGCTTTTGTATTTCTGCATTTGAATTAAAAATAAAAATATGAGATTTACCTAAGGAAAAGGAAATTAATAACAGCAAAGAAATAAATCTGCGTAACATAAAATACCTTATTTAAATTATGTATATATAGATGTATGTATATTTTCATGTTAAACTAACTTACATAATTATCACTTATAAAATATTTTATTTCTTGTTTGTTTACAAAATAATTATCGTTTCAAAAATACATATTTAATATCCTTATTTTCTACTCTTTTACTATCATGTAAAAGTCCTAATTACACATTAAAATGTATAAAATTTTTAAACAAAATCGCTTGTAACTTTTTTTATAAGTTATAATCGAATTTTCATGCAAGAGAAAAGTATTTCCGGTTAAAACCTTTTCTTCTCATCAAATAACGATGTTTTTTTCTCTTTTTTTGTTTTAGAACTATTATTAATATGGCCGTTGCTGTTTATTATATTGTTAGCGCTGTTATCATTAACGCTTTCATTAATATTATTTATATTACTACTACTGCTGTCGTGATTACCATTTTCATGATTACTGTTATTGCTGTTACAGTTATTGTTTGTGTAACTGCTATTACATCCATTATCATCTCTTAAATAAATGTTGCTGTTATTATTATTGTTATCATTGTTGATATTATTATTGTTTTTATTATTACTATTACTATTATTGTTATTTATATTATTTATGTTACTATTGCTGTTGTTATTGTAACTATTATTTTGATCGTTATTGTTATTACTAAATGCAATCATATAATCTTTAAAATTAATTTTTTGTTGTAATATTGAAATAATTACACCTTCGGTCGCAATTATTTGACACTTTACAGAATTACTTTGCTGCATAATATCATAAAAAAATGGCATATCCTCATAACAAGAGACTATTACATAACGATTTGGTAATTGTGAATTCAATTCAGCAATTGAAACCTTTGATCGACGTTTATCTTCGATTTGTCCACCAGAAGATTTTATTAAAGAAATCATATCCTTCAAGGATGGAAAAACTGAAGGTGTGATATAAAATATTTTTCCTTCAAAAAGCTTTTGACGAATTGGTGATTCCAAAATTTTATCTATGTTAAATTGAAATTTTTTTTCCAGTTCTGTGTCAGTAATTTTGAAGTTATATTCTGGAAGAAATTTCCCATTTTTAGCGCTTTCAACTATCCAATCACTGTGGCAGACATATTTTACATAAAGTAGTGCAATTAAAAATTTTGTTGTTCTATTTTTTTTTGTTGTCATAACTATATGTGTAGCATCAGTCACATTTTCCACAACAATTCCTCCTAATACACTAAAAAAATCAATTCTTTGTGAGAAATAAGTCGAAATTATGTCCAAATTTTCTTACTTTATAGCGTTTTTTATACCATTAAGATTATTAACTTGAAAGAGAAAAATTCTTGGGGCATTATCTGGAAGTGGATATTCAACACAAACCATATTATCCGGAATTTCTTCCATTGGCTCGATTTTCTGACGTTTTAATTTTGGCTCCGCTGGATCCGTTAAGTGCCTTTTGACGCGCTCATGAGCTTCTTGAGTCAAATTAATAGGTGCTTTCCAAGCAGCTAAAAATGCATAAAAACAAGACATTAGTTTTGAAATTTTATATAAAGATAAAATTTTGTCCCTCACCCATCAATTGAGGAACTAATCCATAATCTATACGAAGAGGACCTGGTATATTATATTGTTGATATTTTGGATTATCATATTGAGACATTGTACTCAAATTTCCAAGACAAACATCACTTAACCATGTTGCATTAACAATCGGAGTGTTCAATTCTTTGGCTTTTTTATACTTTTCACCTTCTAGTTTACGACAAATTAATATAGTATTCGCTCTGCTAAATGTTTTTGTGTAGCAAGCTCCCGATTCTTCAATCATAGCTCGAATTCGTTCACGTTCCTCACCTTCGAATCCAGAAACAGAAATTAAATGCTTTGTTGCTGGTTTTTGAATCCCAAAAATACTTGGAGCTGGTAAGTGAAGAGCTTGACATGGTGGAAAAACTAATTTTTTTCGCATTACATCTCGAAGCCAATATATGGTCACACATCGTTTTGAGTCACGCAAAGCTTGCATCACTACTCCATGACGTTGTGTTCGGCACAAAACATGTGTTACACGTTGACAGTAAACATTTTCAACTTCTCCGCCAGCGTTTTTTATTAAAAATATGGTTTTATCAATAT